CTTTACTCCTTCAAAAGCAGTGCCATGTGGGCAACTGTTACACATTACCAAGTTCTAATACCAGCTTGAGATAAAGCCTCAGCTCCCCACTGGATCACAGCTTGTGTGTGCTGCTTCTGAGGAAATACTTCCCAAATTTCTCCTCAGTGGTGTTGGTGCCTTATTCACCATGGATGATTTCTCAATCCCAGCTAACCAATATTGAATGTTTCACTAAAGCCAAAGTTTCACTTTCACTGATGCTGGTCTCCTGTTAATCAAAGTTGATTTTTTAATATTAGCTGACCAGAAACCAGATTCTTAATTTAAACATATCCCACAAACAGCATGATGAGTCTTTTCAGGGACTGACTCTCAAACTCCCCTCTGAAACAAGCCATATCTTCATCTTCGGAATTTCTCTTGGCATTATCTTCCAAGCTCCCACAAAATAGCCCACTAAGCTTCCTCCCAACAAAATGGGCAAGTCTATTATAGCAATACCCCATGTTCACAATACCAATCTGTTGTAGTTTGCTTTCTGTTGCTGAGATAAAATACTGGCCAAAAGCAACTTGTACAGGAAATGGATTATTTTGACTTACCCTTCCCAATCACAATTCATCATTGAGGAAAGTCAAGGCAGAAACCTGAAAGCAGAGACTGTCTTAGAGTTACTATTGTTGTGATGAAACACCATGACCAAAGCAACTTGGAGAGGAAAAGGTTTATTTGGCTTACACTTCCACATAACAGTACATCATCAATGGAAATCAAGACAGGAACTCCAGCAGGGCAGGAACCTAGAGGTAGGAGCTGATACAGGGGCCACAGAAGAGTGCTCCCTGCTGGCTTGCTTCTCATGGTTTACTTAGTCAACTTTCTTATAGAATCCAGGACCACCAGGCTAGGGATGGCACCACCCACAGTGGGCTGGACCCTCCCCCATCAGTCACTAATATAGGCTTGCCTACAGCCAGATATTATGGAGACATTTTCTCAGTTTAGGTTCCCTCATCTCAGATGACTTTAGCTTGTGCCAGCACAGAGACCATGAAGGAATTCTGCTTACTTGTTTGCTCACTCTCTAGTGACAGTACTACCCACAGTGGGATGAACCTTCCCACATCAACCATTAACCAAATGAAATGTCCCACAGACATGCCCACGGGTCAGTCTGATTGAAGCAATTCCTTGACATTTCCACTTCCCAGGTGATGGTAGGTTGTGTTGTGTTGACATAAATCAACCAGCACAGCTTCTCTGGTTGACAACTATTCTTCTATATCAATGTTTACAGGTTAAAAGAAAGGGGAAAAAAAAACATCACACACAAGATCAATGTAATTCTACATTATCCTGTTAAGAATAGGTTTTCCCCGCCAGCCTGACCCAGAGCTGCGCCAGGCACAAATAACACACAGAAACGCTCTATTTGATATAAAGCTGTTAGCCTGTTACTAGCATTTCTTATTGGCTAGCTCTGTCTTAAATATTAACCCATTTCTATTAATCTACATATTTCCATGTGGTCTTATCTTACCAGAGGGAGGGCTCAGCATCCTTCTTTCTAGGTCCTACATCCTGAATCTCCTCCCTACTTCTTCCTCTCTCTTCCTACTCTCCTAGTCCCACCTATCTTGCTTTCCTATTGGCCAACAGTGCTTTATTCATTAACCAATAAGAGAAACATATTTACAGAATGACATCTAAGATCATTATTCCTCATAGTATTATCTCCACATTCTCCTTCACCATTTTTGGTTTGTTCTGTTTGAGATAAAAATCTCACTGTGTTTCACAGAACCCTCTCACACCAAGTTCCTGACTAATTGGATCTATAAGCTTGTACCATGCATCCAGATATTAGAATTTCTGACTTTGAAATTTCCATCCAGTTTTCCAGTATTGGAAAATTCACCTACAAATATTTATATTAGGCTAGTATGTAGCAAGAACTCTTCTGCTGTGGGGCCACATGGAAACTGAGCTCAGTGACTCCTTCCAGAATAATGCCATTTTAAACCATCATCAGTTAATATTTGGTAGAGTCTTTGTGTTATAAGAAAGGCTAAGAAGAACGTGTGTGGTCCTTGTGCTTTTTAACTGTCAGTTATGATACAACAGATGAAGAACAGTTAAGTCATCCCACAAAGCAGGAGGAGAATTCCAGTTTTAAACATCAATAATTGCAGTAAGTGCTCAAGAATTTAAAAAAGACACTGTGCTCAGTCCAGACTCATGAGTCAGACCATACTTTGGTTTCTGCCTAGGATTTAAGGAATTGGTAGGAGACAGAAGGGCAACCAGAAGTAGCAGGTATCTGAGGCTAGGAGTATTGCATTAGGGATGTTGAGTAAGGCATGGGCAATGAAAGCTCATCCGTATGGAAGAAATAGGTCATTTGGACTGACCTCCAACAGGTTAAGGCCTGAATCTGGTTATCAGAATAAGAAGCCTAGTACTGAACCTTCAGCTGTTAAAAAAAAAAAAAAATCAAAGTTTAAATTGACTGTGCAGAGGGATATTTTAGAATAATGTTTTGGGAATTATCATAGTAGCAAACAAGATGCTGTGGAGAACAGGTTGATACCTTGGTAGAAATATCTGCACTGGGCACACATGGCTTAGGAAGCAGATGTTGAGAGGAAATAACTTCTGGAGAGAATAAGGTACAATAAGAAAAGAAAAAAGTTGGAGATTAGGTCTGGAAAGGAAATGCATTTAGAATCCACAGGAAGAATGCGAACAATAGTTCTTGGCAAGACAGAACTACCGCCAATCTAGAAGTCAGTAAGTCAGTAACAGTGTCCAGCAAAGTTCATCATCACCAGGTTAAGCACATGGACCAAGAAGCATTGACCCATCTGGGCTCATCCCAGAAAGGCCCACATGACTCCAACAGCTAACCTTTCTGTTTGGATCTTAGTCCCTGACTATTCATATAAATCAGTAAACACACATATCTCACTATTGCTCAATGTGCATACTCAGGTCTTATCTGTCTGACACGGGTTTGATAAGATACTTGTGGGTAGAGATAATAACATGTGTATTACATGTTGCCTTCCCTCCCCATTGTGCCTGTACACTGCCACACCTCTGGAGCTCATTTAGAAGGATTTTTAACTAAAGGTAACATGAAAATTCACTCAGTGAATCTAAGGAAAGACACAGACATGAATCCAGTGGTGATTGCTAGAGTGTGGTTGCACAAGCCAGTGGCATCAACAGCAGCTACAGACCTGTTAGAGATCAGAATCTCAGCTCTCCATCCACATGCAAGGAAACAGACTCTGTACCTTAACAAGACTCCTGGCTTATTGTCTATATGCACTGTGTTTAAAAAGAAAACTATAATAAGATTAGTTATAGAAGAGGCCACACTGCTACCAAAGAAGTTAGTTGGATCAGGGACAGTGAGCCTGAGCACATGCTGCAGTTCAACCTGGCTTGTGCTCAAACTCACAGTCAATGATGGAGCCCAGGCCCTTTGGAGATGGGGCATAATAACAATTCAGGGGGCAAATCCAGCTGCTGATCACAGCCTAGATGCACAATCCTGCTAAGAACAGCCACTAAATTTATGTATGAGAAGCAGTTCATAGATTATATCTACTTAGCTGTTTTTTTTTTTCCTGAGATTTTATAAATATTCTACCCTCCTGATGATCCCATTTAGTTTCTTTGTATCTATCCAGCTGCAGGGGCTTATGGTACAAATCTGTATCTCTCTCTTTCTCCCTCCCTCCCTCTCTCTCTCATTCATTCATTCAATGGCAGGAGATTATGATAAGAATCTGCATCTGTTTCATGTTCTCAGTCTCCACTGTGCAACATCAAAATACTTTTTGGCCAATTGAAAGACAAACCTGAAAAATGCAAATGCAACTTAGAAAGGGTTGTGACTAAGTGCTGATCCAATAGCACCACTGTTGAAATAACATCATCAGGCCAAAGTTCCCCAGAGAAAGGACTGGACATACAGCAATGGCTACTAAGACGAAGTCCACACAGGACCTGTTCTCTTGGGCGAGTCTCATCTTGGCTGGGAATATGCTCAATATTTAGATCTTCCTTTGATTTTAAGTGTACCCAGTATCACCATCTGAAGATATCATGGTGTGTGTGTGTGTGTGTGTGTGTGTGCACGTGAGTGCATGGACGTGCGCTGGTATTCGTGTGTTGAAGTATGTGTATGGGTTATGTACTTGTGCAAGCATGTGAAGGCAAGAAATAGATGTCGGCAGGTGACCTCCTCAATCACTTTTCACCTTATATTTTTGTAACAAGGTCATTCATTCAGTTTGGAACTCATCCACCCACTCATCTAGGTTGGCTTGCCTAGAGGCTCCAGGATCTGCCTCCCCTGAGCTAGGATTGCACATGCATGCTGCCATATCCATCTTTTCCATTAATTCTGAGTATTACCCACTGAGTCTTCTGCCAAGCCCTTCTTTATTATTTTTAACAGCTTTATTATCACGTGGTATACATGCCATGAAATTTGTATTTTACAAACAGAAGAGACTTCCATTATATTTCCTGCCATCAAGCAATGCCTCATTAAAATGTATACATTAATAGAATACAGTTATTCCTTACATCTCTAGGAATGTAGGACTTTGTTATTTTCCCTTGAATAACATATCTGAAAAATCTCATTTTTTTTATTAGTGGAAAACATATATTGATAAAATTGTCTATTCAATTAAAAATGTAGGAGTAATACCTTTCAGTTTCAGAGATGACTAGCTGAAAACATCATGGCAGGCCTTCAAATCTATTTCCTTGAAGGAATTGCATCAGGAAGAAAAGTTCATTTATTGATCCACACTGGAAATCCCAAATCCTTACAAACTATTCTTCCCTCAGATTTTCCTGATCCATTTTTCCACCAGGTATTAATTCTTTATGAAGGCTGCTGGAGCCTGCCAACATCTGTTGTTTTTCATATCTGAGTTGACACGAAGACTGAGACAGGTTTTTCTCTTTTAAAACTTAGGAAGAAAGGAACTTACATGCTCTCGCAGAACCTGGTCAGGGTGCTGGGTTTTTCCTGGTTGCGTCTCTGTCGAAACCAGCGTTGAATGCTCCTAACATCCCAGTCCAGCTGCTTGGAGAGCCCTTCCAATCGCTTCTCATCAGGATGCTATGAAACAGGGCACCAGGACAACCATTCTCATCCATTTTTTACTTATACCGTTTACAAATTTTATGTCACACATGCCTGGATTTTCCCTCTATTTTCTACTGTCTGCATTTCAGTATTTATGACTGATGTTCCAGCCCACCCATTCGAGGTATGAACTAAGATAATACCTAGATTACTCATTATGAAACAGGACAGAAAAATAAGAATCTTGCATATTTCCTTATCAATGAATACTTCTTATGAAACAACCAAGAGAGGATGAACCAGCCAGCTGGCTGAGTTAGTTCCATCAGCCTTCAAGGGAAGAATTTACAGACATCAACAAATAGTTCACCTTCTCAGAGGGGAAAAAAAGTACATTAACATATCTTACAAACAGATAATGTAGAAAGAACAAAAAAGCACAGGAAATCCTAAAATGTATCACATTCATTACTTTCCTCTCTCGTCTTCTTTCCCTATTCTTCAAGTTTCTCACCTTTTCTTCCTGTCACCCCACACACCTAGTCTCACTAACACTACATATTACCTAAGGGATTTGTGTGGTGACAGGCATAGACTCTATTCCTCACGCCACTGGCCTTTCCAAGCATTGCTCTCTCTATCAATACAAACATGGGTGGTTTATCAACTCACAGGTAACTGTGACAAGGACTCTGAAAATATATACTAAACTGAGTACCGGTCAGCTGTCTTCTTTCTCTCCTCTCCTCAACATGTTGAAGGGCTTCTTGCCGACAGTCACAAGAGGGGACCTACTGTAAATGAAACTGGCCAAGAGAGCTCCATTCCATTATTTATTGTTTACTTTAGTCCTGATGGTCAGAGGAAATAACCAAAGGAAGGAGGGAGATGACACACCAGCCAGGCCATAACGGAATGTACACACAGGATCTAAAAGCATTTCAGCAACTCAAGGGGTCTGTGTCCCCGACAATTCACATTAAAAACTCTCATTTGAGTGAGGAGGTGAGGCCCCTGGGGAGAGGCTAGGTCACAAGGCTGGAGCTCTCACAGTGAGATTTAGTAGCTGCTACTGCAGCCACCACTGCCTCCTTCCACCCCCCCCCCCCACATCTCTCTCCCCCATTCTTCACTCCTTTTCTCTGCTCCCAAACCCTAAGAAATGGACACGATAGACACCTAGATCTCATACTTCCAGACTGTACAGGACTTTACAAATGTGAAAGCTAAATATCTATTGCTTAAGTCCCTGACCTACAGCATTCTATCATGGTGGCCTGAATCAACTAAGACAGACACATACCCCAAGAGCACAGCAAATGCCATCTAGTTACAAAGTGTTCTGGTCTTGCCCCTGTAAATGCAACTTGCCAACTTTCAGCTGGGCATGTGCCTGAGTTCCTTTCAGTGGGAATAAGAGAATCCACAATCTCCTTTTATGTCTTTCTTAATTGAAATATGAGAGGCAGGGGGGAGTCACTGCTTATAATGGCTTGATTACTATCTTATAAAAATGAATATTTGGCAGTTTTATTATATATACTATGTTGTGACTATATTCACTGCCACTACCCTCTATTGTCTTCCTTACTCTGCCTCTGAATTTCTTGTTCCTAACTAGTTCCCCAATAGCCACATCATTGAAGAAAATGACACCGTCTCCAGCAGAGACCACAAACAGGCAAGAACCACTCAGGAAGAAGGTGTGACCTTAGAGACAACAACAAAAATCATTTTTTATTTCTGAGTTTACTAGTAGTGGGAGAAAAAAAAATCTAGGATTCACAAATCACAAATTAAATGCCATCTAATTCCAACTGTCCCTGTTGTCTCAGTCCCCTTTCTTCCTTTGATAGAAAACCACAGCCAGTCATTTTTTTTTGGGGGGGCAGGGTTATTTTGCATAAACAAAACCGAATACATATTTATATAACCCACCAAATCACACAAATTATTGCAGACTGTGGACTTAGTCTGGACTTAGTGTCTTTCTCTTTATAATGTATCTTGGATGGATTCCAAATCAGTTGAGAGAACAATGAAATGTAAGACTAAACTCCAACTTCCTAATCTGTTCTGCTAAGGGACACTTTGGTAGCACCCTAGCATCTAAAAGTGCCGCAACAATAAGCTTGATGTGTCGCAGCAAATGGTGCATTTCATTCCTGGAACTAAAAAGTGTAGGTCCAAAGGTTCTGTGTTCTTATAGCCTTTTTATTTTGAAGATTTACTAACTTATTCATTTAAATGCTCAAAAGAAAGAACAGTTGTGTCCCAAAGCCTCCTCACATCTTCATCTTTTCCAGTCTGATACATGAAAACCAGATTCTCTTACCTTTGTATTGAGACAAGTATCTTGTTCCTATGTTGAGAACCATACAGACTTTACTTTCAGATGAAGAATAAGCTCTAGTACTGCCTAGTATCCTCTTTAACTTATTAACATTTTCTACATTTATTCATAGGACTTCTCCATTTGTTATAGTGATTAAATATTTTCCTCTATTGTAAAGGGTTTTTTGACACTATAGAATTTGTTTTAGAAGTATTCTTTGCTTTAAAAAAAAAAAAAAAAAAAAACTCTGCAACTATTTACTAAAACTACATTTGAATTCAACAATCTCTTCTGTAATCACTACTAGAAATTATTATTCGAACTACCTTTTAATAGTTTCAGGGTGCATTTTGAATACAGATTGGAATTCTGTGGGTACAGGGCTGTAACCTTCCACATGGCTACCCAGTGTCCTGAGAGCACTCTTCCCCTTTCCACACTGTAACCTCACCCAGCTTTTCCCCTGGTCTATTATCCATGTCTCAATAACATGTGCTAAACTTTACTCAGGTATTTATATTTCTATGTGACAAGAACTTATATGGCAAGCATCAGGTTCTTTATATCTAAAATTGAGAAAAGGCCAAATAAACTTTTTTGGTATTTGTAATAAGATCACACGAATTTCACCATGTGGTGGTGGCACACGCCTTTATTCCCAGCAGAGGCAGGCAGATCTCTGTGAGTTCGAGGCCAGCCTGGTCTACAGAGTGAGTTCCTGAAAGGCTCCAAAGCTACATGAAAATCCCTATCTCACAAAACAAAAGATCACACCAATTTCTTAATGTAAAAGTTAATTAACATCTTTGTTTGACTTGTCTTTAATGCCTTCCAAGAATACTAAATGTTTCCTTCAAGTACTACTTACTCAAGGTTGTAATGTCCTGGGATACTATTCTTCTTGGGTTTTATTATAAATAATGACATCTTTTCTTACAACCTTTTAACTGTTTAATCATTTGCATATAAAAAGCCACTCATTTCTGGTAATTTTGCTCTGTAATTCTTTGTTTTTGTGTGGTCTTAATTGTCTCAATTTAAAGGTATACAATAATAGTCTATTACTAGATTACAAACTCCATAAACATATAAAACTTTTAATATCTTTTTCACTGACACCTATCTTGTAAAGACTTATAAACACTTTTTAAATGAATGAATAATTAAATGGAAAATTTTGCTTTCTCCTTTTCTAATTTTAATGACTTTTTCTCTTATCTAATTGCTAATTTAAATCCACATGAACAATAAGTAAAATTACCATTATTTCCCCCCTCTCCTTTCCTTGTCCTCCCCGCCCAACACTTGTCAACAATATTATTTTTCTTAGAGTTTACTTCTGTACTGTTAAATATCCCTCTACTGCTATTGAATTTGCCAGCATTGCTGATCAGCTGCCTCCCAACTATTAAGTGATTCTGCAATAAGTAAAGTTCCCACCATCTTCTCCTGCTCAATTCAAGTTAGTTGTATCCTTTTTATACTGTAGGAACATACACTCTTAACATTATGTTCTGACACCATCCCTCACATTTCTTCTTCTCTTGGTTTTACAGTTTAAATATATTCAAAACTCACAAAGTTTCCCAGTAATCTTGTATAATCTTCTGGTTAGCTAAAATTAATGACAACAATCTCCTTAACAAAGAAGAAAATAGGACAAATTATAGACAACATGTCTACAATTTTATATAAGAATTACTTATTATGTATGTGATGTGAGAGAGCACTCACACATGCATGTTTTCATGTACACGGGCAAGTGCCTGCAGATGCCCACAGAGAACAGAGGATGCTGGAATCCCCTAGAACTGGAGTTCCAGATGTTTATGAGCCACTTGACATGAGTCTGGGAACTGAACTCTGGTCCTCAGGAAGAGCAGCAAGCACTCTAAACCCCTGAGCTACATCCACAGGCCATGCCTCCCCTTTGTAACTAGACAGAGGAAATGAAAATGAGTATATCTTCACTTGAGATTACAGCCAGCATTCCCTTCCATTTGCAAGGGATCTTGCAAGGTACTAGAGTATATAGGAAGTAAAAGGTTAACTGAAACTGGGACTCCATTATGCAGTTTCCATGCAGCTGTCATATGGATCTGGTGGGACCATGTGGTGAGTGCAGCTGTTGGTCTGTCACACACACTCATGAAGAGTGCCTCTCCTGTGCTCTCTGTAGATGTCCCATAAGACCACTGGTCTCACCAAACTGAACTTCCATGAAATTGTACTTTCGTTGGATAGTGGTGCTCGTCTGAGGTCCACAGTTGTTTTCATGTCTTCCAAGGAAAAAGCAATTCAACACTATGACACACTGCTTCATAAGTGCTCTATACTTTTACCCTTATAGCTTGAGAACCGACTTGATTAGGAAGGTGAGGTAGCTGGTTTCTTAGCTATGACAAGAAAGTCTCCCCAAGTTAAACATGTATTCAAATAACAGAATTAAACCAGTCAAAAGACAGGCACTCCAAAATATTCATCTGTGAGAAACAATCATTCTGTGTATTTGGTGTATTTAAAAGTGCTCAGCAATCAAGAACTGGTTCTTTGGCCCACCCCAAACTCAGGAGTCGGAAGCTCTCAAAACTTGGCACAGCAGCAGCAGCACTTTACCCCTCACATGAGCGAGGCAATGAAAATGTGGAAACACTGTCTGAAACAGATTCTGTGCAATTTACTAAGCAATGTGCTGTGCGCATGTGTGCATGCATGTGTGTGTTGTTTTAGCCTACCCTCATGAAAGCCTGGGAGTATGTTATGTGGAGATTTCTAAGGTCCCCCCAAAAGTTAAGAAACTTGCTGAAGGCCAAACTCTAGTAAGAAAACAGGCAAATACCAAGGGTCCTAATTATTTCCTGATGGTGATAGGCTCTTAACAGTGTTTAGAATGAGATAGTTTTCCCCATAGGGCAGGGGAAGGAGGGCCAGAAAAACAGACAGACATTACCCCAAGAGAAGAAACTGATGAAGGATGTAATGACTTTTACCATCTACATCCACCTGGTGATGTCAGAGGATAGAGTCCTAGGAGATGACCAGAGCAGTCCCAATGAGCAGGACCCACATTCAGAAGGGAGTTTAGTATTATACTCTTTAATGTAATGTAATGTGTTCTCGCAAGTAAAATCTAATGGGGCAAAGGAGCATGTTCCAGACACATAAGAGTCTGACCTCATAGAGAGGCTTACTCTCAAATAGGCACTCATTGCCCCTTTCCCATCTCCTGTCTCCCTACTTCCTCTCCTCTGTTCCCTGTCTACCTATAGCTACTGTCTTCGGTCCCCCCAGAAGGGTTTCAAACAAGCCAGGGCAACAAGGAGATGTGAGATAGGGTTTGTTTCTCTCTGGGTTTTCTTGCTATGGGGTAGAGCAGCCACCTCTGTGCTTCATGGGTGACTCAGCTAAGGTGAACCTCTTGCCTACTTGCAATCTTGTAGCATGGGTTGTGATGCCCTTGGAGGTCACCTATCCATCATGGGTTGGGGCAATGGGCCTGTAGATAGGAGGACTGTCTGAATTTGCTCCAGTGCAATGCCCAGTGTAGCTGGAGGAAAGGTGAATATGGCAGTCGGCATGTTTGTATGTACTTAGTGATACAGTATCCCCAGGCATTTCTGAGGTTCTGTACTTGTTCTATCAATATTCCCCAACCTACAGACATTACAGAACAAACCAAACACAGCTTGACAGGGCTGGGAATGGGGCTCTTGCCTAGCATTTATAATGGCCTGGATTTGATCTTCAGTGTCATAAGAAAAAAATAAAGAGACTAATGAGAGAGATATTTCACTTTAGTAAGGTAAACTACATGGGAATGTGAGGTTCTTTTCTAAATATTTACTTCCTCTAACACAGAGTATGTGTCCCACGAGGTTGAACTTTGCAGTCCAATGTCACTCCTCTAAACTACAAAAAGAGCTTTCCCTAAAATTCCCTTCATTCTTTTCCTACTCTTTACAGAGATGTTTAAAAGAATACCTAATCTTTCCTCGTATTTTTCTAGCAAAAAAAAAAAATGTCATTTTTCAGAGGACATAGAAAATTCCTGTAGATTTTGGCAGTCATGAAGGCGGCAAGACAAACCAAAGTGTTTGGATATCTGAATTAACAGCGGCAAGACATGAGACTGAGTACTAATGGCTACCACCACAGACCATAAAAGGACAGCATTTGCTTAAAACTGTCAAATCTCACCTTACACGCCTGTCTCACTCTTCCAGAAAACTGAAAAGGGTCAAAGGAACCATTTGATGCACACACCCACAGAAAGCTACATACCTGCTGTCTTACACTTTCTTGTCCAGACAAGGGTGAGGATAAGGAGGGATCTTAGGGGCTGAGAGCAAGATGTGTGGGCTCCATGTTAGTTTGTTTCTTTTTGAGAAGCCTTCAGATTGAGTGTCCCTCTGCTTTCTCTTCCTCTTTGTGCTTAAATATGTACCAGTCACTCACCTTTCCCCTCCCTCTGGTTCTCCCTTGATACTGAATGTTTTAATCTCTTCATTTCTTCTGCCCTGTCAGCCTGTCTCTCCCGTTCCACCTCTGCCAACCAAGTTTCCCCATCCCTTCCCACAGCAAGTCTTCTTCACTGTTGCTCATGTTTGTCTCTCACAAGCCCTGAATGTATGAGTGGTACTTGCTATAAGCCAAGTGGTTCCATTTCTCACACAGGTACACACCACACTAAGCTTTGCCTGGTCACTCCCTTCCAGCTCTTATCTGTATGCTTCATGTCACCTGAGACTGAAAAAGACACTGGATTGGACTAACCTCTATCTTATCAAGACCTTTGCACACAAAGCTTGTAAAATCAGCTGGAGTCAACCAAGAGGCCACAATGTCCTTTATCTACTGTTTACAGTTTGGATCCAATCGTAATACCTTCCTTCTCTCTTAGCACCCACTGTCTGATAGGAGGAAAAGTTAATTGTCAGAACCTAAGAGAGAAGGGTTGGAATAACCGAAGGTTGTGTGGTAGTAGAGAAAATCAACTCCCTAGAGGACACTCCTACCTTTGTTATAGCAGTGAAGACCTTTTCCAGAATGGCGTTTGGCTGGGCAATTTGTGGTCCATTGGCCTGGATGTTGAGGGCTATGGCACATGGTTTGGCTATGAACCTAAAGGTTTAAAAAAAAAAAAGAATTCAGAAATTATACTTTTTAAAGCAGCTCTTAGTAGCATCATTTATATGTGACTAGGTTTTCCTAATAAGATGCTTGTAGAGTTTTATGGCAACATTTCCATGGGAAAACTATAAGGCAGACCTCAGTTGAGGCCCCCAGCAATCACACTGAAAAGAGAAATTCTTTAAAAACGTTTAAATGTCTTGACTGAGTATGGTGGCACATGCCTTTAATCGCAATATTCAAGAGGCAGGAAGATCTCTTCAGGCATGAGGCCAACCTAGTCTATGCAGTGAGTTTCAGGACACCAACAGCTATGTGGAGAGACCCTATCTCAAAACAAAGTAAACCAAAAACAACAATAACAACAAAACAAAAGAATATTTAAACTCTAATGAGACTGCACATATCAATATATGATTCTTTACACCATAAGAAAGAAAAGGAAGACAGAAGCATTGGATGGAATCGCAAGTGAGATATATACATACATGGCAACAGGTGCCGTCATGTTAGTATGTTCACATGGAGGGTGTGTGTTTTTCATCGCTCTGGTGATAAATACAGCCGTTTTCTCCCATAATCAATGTATGTAGTACTGAACCCCAATCTCATTCAGTTTTGTAATTTCTGCTTTGTGGGCCACCACCCCACCCCACTTTTTTCTCCCAGGACGCATTGAAGAATGTTAAATGGCATAGCATCACAGACAAGTTAAAGGCTGAAGTGTTTAAAAGCACGAGCCTGACTGTGGCCTATGCCAACGTGAACAGGAAGGATGAACCTCTTTTCCCACATCTGACGTCTGAGAGGAATGTGTAGTGCACAGGGCTCAGGCAGGATGGTGACATGTCTAGAAAAACTGCATAAAACAAAAGATTTTTACACTTTCAAGATGTTTTAACTAACTATTCAAGAAATAAGTTTCTATAATACGTCAGTGGTGATGCTGAGAGTCTAGCCCTAGTTTAATATAATACAAGACTATTACTAAGATAATTCAAAAGTTGCCAAGGACAACAACCACTAAATGCATAAAACTGGTCAGTAGTGAACCTTAGATGAGGTTTATTTAGCAAAACTTCACAAGACGAAAGAACAGTAAACACAGAAGGAACAGTAGTATGTATGACAAAATGGTGACCTGGGACCTATTTTATGAAGAAATTCAAACTGGAAAACAAGAGCCCTGCATGTTGCCAGCCTGAGCCAGGAGAGACACACACAAAAGGTGCACCATCATGCTCGCCACACTAGGGTCTCTCGGAACAAAGTGGAAGCAGGGATTACTATCTTTTCTTAATCTGTAAGCCCTTGAGAAACAGCCCTGCACTCTTGGTTCCTTCCAGTGTGCACCTTTCTGAGACACCTCAGTAATGCCTTTCCCTTTTCCTAATAATTCAGGGTCTTCTCGGTAACCACACAGTAGCATCTGAAGCTCCAATTGGAAAAGACACATACATCACTTAGTGAGCAGTGGCCACAGCCGAGTCCACAACTTATTTCCCCAACCACAAGTTTCCCACTTGTTGGCCACTCTCACAATGCTTAGCAGAAGATATAAAAAGACATTCATGCTGCAGGGGAAAAATTGGGCTAAAAGGGCCGACCTAACATGTCAGGCTAAAGGGGCTGAACTTCACTCTTCTGTGGTTGGCTTCCACTCTTCCTCAATGGATTTCTTCTCTGTCCTCATTTCCCCGATTTCCACACTGTTTAAAGTCCCTTGGGATTCTGCCCCTACCATCTCTGTAACAAACTGGCAGGTAAATAACAAGGCACTATCACTTGTTCTTTGTATATCTCAAGCATGGGATGATTCCTTCCAAGGCCAATATAATAACTAGCTGGCCACACTGACCCTAGCCAAAGTAAACTCCAAATTCTAAGTAAGGATTCAGGGAAAGTACATTAGAGGAATGGAACATTAGTTAAGAGAATTTAACACACTGGAAAGTGTGAAGCCATTTAAAATATAAACGGCCCATGGAGAGTATGCATACACAATAAATCAAACTGCATGAATTTTTTTTCAAGATGCTACTGTGTCATAGGATGTTCTTATTTATATGAGCGCTTAGTGAATATTTGATGTATAAATGGATGTGTGACCAAGCCCAAAGGGCTGCATATTTTAATTTCCTTGAATATCACATCATTTCAGGGTTATCCCATACTCCAATACTGGAAGCCATTTCTCAATTCTCAATGTTTTTATGAAATCAACATTTCTCTCAAAAAGCATTTGTTTGTCTTGTTTTTTGGTTTTTATGTTTGTTTTGTTTTTTTCTTACCAACAACTTGACCAGTACAGAAAATCAAATACTTAAATTTCAAGATAGATCACTGCAAGAAGAGTTAATCCCAAATCCTCAACACAAGGAAGAAGTGCAGTTAACTTTATTCCTCATAGGTATCCCTGGCGACAGGATGATATAGAAATTTCATTTGTGTTTATTCGCTGAAGAATTTGTGAATCATCTCTAGTACTTTTTTTCAGAGAACATATTAAATTTCAAATAAAGCCCACGTCACAGCTACTACAATTTTATTACTTTCTGCCACAGTCCATTAGAAACAAAACGCTGTTTCTAATGACAGACCACAGAAAAGTAAGTGCACGAACACTTTCACAGCGGTGGCTGGGATGGAAGGTGAAGGAAATGGAGAGGGAAGAAAGAGGAAAAGGAGGGAGAAAGGGAGGGGGGAGGGACGGAAGAGAAACACATGTGATAGCAATGGGCTAGCACAGCTGCAATTATAGCAGCAGAAGCAGCATGTGCTCTCCAGGCCTGACAAGTCCTCCACCAGTAAGTGCTCACCCAACTCTTTTATCGACAGCTGAAACACCACCTTCAAAAGATCAAACATCTATAAAACATTTCCATGTACCAAAGATGAAAGTAAATATAATAAGGATGTAAGCTTTGGAAAATACTGGTCTTGGCCAAAAAGCTGGGAAAATATTTTTCAATGCATTTAAACAACATGTACTTGTATTTTAAGCATGAATTAATCATGCCAGCACACTAGTGAAGGAAGCACAAGCAGGACCTTGGTGAAACATAAACTACGAAAGTGAGTGCTGCATACAAAGATATTTATGATTACATACAGTATATGTGACACTGTTCTAATTACTTAAAATACTTAATCATTCTCAGTTGGTTGCATAGCCAGAAACTACAAACTGTTAGTCCTTTACAACAGAAGCATTCCCTACCCTTTTAAAGGTACTTGGGAACCTGTGATGGTAAATATGTATCTACATGTTGATAAAAACATATGGAAATCTCTCTCTCTCTCTCTTTCTCTCTCTCTCTCTCTCTCTCTCTCACACACACACACACACCCCACTGGAGAATTCTCAATGAGACCATTCAATTGTCCTGGTTATTTGCTATCCTGGTTGTGACACTGTATACTGTGACACTGTTTTATCACATGTTATCAGTATGTCAAAGTGTGTGTTTGTGAGACCTGGCTATACTAATGGTCTTAGTTATGATTTCTATGATGAAGCTTGGGGAGGAAAGGGTCTTCAGCTTACAAATCTCAGGTCCTACTCCAGCTGAGGGAAGTCAACTCAGGAACCTGGAGACAGGAACTGCTGCAGAGGCTGTGGAAGAACAGTGCTCAGTGGCTTGCTCCTCAAGGCCTGATTAGCCTACTTTCCTATATACCCCATGAGCGACACTGGGCCCCCTCTCCCATCAACCATTAATCAAGTAAATCACTAAAGGCTTGTCTACAGGCCAACCATATTGAAGAATTTTCTCAATTAATTAATTTCCTGTTCCCCAGCTATGTCGTGGTTTACGTTAAGTTGATGAAAACCAATCCGCACACTAATATTGCAAGTAGATATGAATATATGACCTTCTGGATGAAGATTTTAATATAGAAAGAAAAGCATTGGAAGGGGCATTTCTGTCTTTAACTGTGAGGAACAAGAGCCTGACAGACCTTCTGTCTTTTGTCTCTGTATAACACAACAACCCTTTCCAGTCCTCTCCCCCCAAAGTCCAAACAGAAGCCAAACCAATACCCAAAGGCTCTAGAGAGAGAGGACGAAAGCAAATAGGCTTGGGACATGAGTCAAGTGATGAAACAAGCCACGTGACATGGGAATAAAGGGGATTTGTGATATCCAAACCCCACTTCAAGTTCTTCAGGTTGTTGAACAGAGAGAAACAGATTTTCAGAATTAATGCTGAATCCAAAATAGCAAATATATTTGAAAGTAGGGAAGTACCTGGAAGGCCTTTGAAATAAATCACAATCCCTTAGTAATAAACAAAATAAGCAAACCAAAGTATGAAAAAGAACATATATCACCCCAGACTATGTTAGACCGAAATCCAACTATGAACAAGTAAAGGCCACTCACCCAAAAATGTGCATACAGCCTGGATAACATCCCAGTAATTATTCAGATTTTAAAGCATAACTAGAACAGCACTTTGCAAAGCAATCTGGAGGTGCATGTTTAGACAACTGTGTGTAGGTGACTGAGTCAGTAGGGGTGTGTGTGTGTGTGTGTGTGTGTGTGTGTGTGTGTGTGTGTGTGTGTGTGTGCTTCATCTCGAATGAGTGCATGTGCTACAATCTTACGAATACAATACTGCTTCAAGAAGGAAAATAATTACTGGAAAGTCATATGGAAAAGGAGAACCAATCATTATAGACAGTTACCATGGGCTAATAAATACTTTTAAAAAACTGTGTTATACAGTTACCGTGGGTTAATTAGCACTGTGTGGCATTTTATTCTTTTAAAAAACAAACCCAGCAATTCTTTGAAGTAAATAACAGTTCTGTTTTACAGAAGTACAACATATAGCTCAATGAGGCTAAAATGTGTATCTGAGGTTTTTCAGCTACAGAGCTGAGGTAAAAGTTAGACACCCTTGCTATAATCTGATGTAAATGGCTACACTCTGGGCTTGGCATGTTGAGAAGCTGTTTAATATTTATAAATCCTGGTTACTATG